GCCTGGCAAGGCGATGCTGAATAATCCTTGCCAGGACCTTTCCCGGCACACTGAGGAGTGAGATGCCCCTGTAGTTGTTACAGTCTGTGCGGTCCCCCTTCTTAAAAAGGGGGACCACCAGGGCATCCTTCCAATCCTGCGGAACCCGTCCAGTGGTCCAGACTGTTGTTATGATGTCATATAGGGCAGTCTGTGCACAAACGCCACCCTCCCTCAGCATTTCGCTTGGGAGATCATCTCTGCCCGCTGCCTTTCCTGGTCTCAGACTCCGGATCGCCTTCAATACTTCCTCAGCAGATGGCACCTCAGCCAGCCACTCACAGGGGGTGACTTCTTCCAATATTTGAGGCACCGCAGCCTCAGCAGGGTCATCCTCACTTTGTGCCACGATGTTTTCCTGGCTGAGGGATTTTCCCTCCCCCAGGACCTCACAGAAATGCTCAGCAAATCTGCGAACCTGTTCCTGGGGGTCGGAGATTGGATCACCGTTTTTTCCCCTAATGATGGTAATAGGTGTGGCGCTGCAGGTTACTTTTTTGATGGAGTTAAATAGAGATTTGTGATCACGGGCCACTGAGGCAGACTCCATCTCCTCAGCAACCCGCGACCACCACCCATCCTTGCAGCGCCTCACGGCTCTACGAACCTCTGAGCGAAGGCTGCGGTAAGCCTCCTCATTCTCTGACGTGGGATTCTGTAGCCGATGACAGTGGGCCTGTCGCTTTTTCTCAACCATCCTGAACACCTCCTCTGTCAGCCAGGGTCTCTGGGGAGGTCTGGACCGCGTACCCAAAGCAGCCATTGCAGCTGCATGAGTCACAGTCCTAAACCTCGCCCATTTACCCTCGACATCAGGAGGAGTCGGGGACGATGCCAATCCCAGCCGCAAGCGATGATGAAATTATCGCTTGCAACTTTCATCAGATAACTGAGACCAGGCCACTTTATGTTGGAATGGGGTCGAGGGTGTACACCCACCACCGGAGTGGAAGAATGGCAGGCGCATCTTACAGATGACTAGTCGATGGTCAGAGGGCAGATCAGCTCCACGGTAGGTCCTGGTGTCAAGGACATGGGCTCGCATTCGCTGGTCCGTCACTATGTAGTCCAGCAGATGTTCTTGCTTGGACCCGGCATGCATCCATGATGTTGTGTGGATGCGCCGATGCCGGAACAGCGTGTTGGTAATTACAAGCCCATGGGCTGCACAAAAATCTAGCAGCCTCCTACCGTTGTTATTGAGCTGATCTGGCCCATGCCCTCCAATCACTCCAGACCAGGTGCCAGTATCATGACCAACTCGGGCATTGAAGTCACCCAACATGATGACTCTATCCCGAGGGGCCACTTTAGCCAGCACCTGTGACAGGAGGTCATAGAAGGCATCTGACTCATCGGCTTTGCCTGCATCCCTCCACGGATGTTCATCTTCGGTGGGGGCATAAGTAACCACGACCACCATTCCTCGCCTCCGGTTGATCGGAAGGCGAGCCCAAAGTAGCCTGGGGCTTACAGCTTCCCACACCTCACCGCCACGCTCCCACGCCCCCTTCATTCTTTTGTTCAAAAGAAGACCCACACCCTGTTGTTTGGCAGTCTGCTGCCCCGAGTAGAGGACTGTCCACCCCTCATGGTGGCAGGAGCCAGAGCCAGTCCACCGGACCTCCTGAATGCCGCATAGATCCAGGCGGTACCGGTCCAGCTCCCGACAGAGGAGTGGCAGCCTCTCCTCTGCAGTGAGCGTTCGAACATTCCACGTGGCCACCCGTAGTGGCTTTTCGTTGTTTCTGGAGTAGCCCCGAGGGTAGGTATTCAATCTCCTGGCTCCGCCAATTGGGGTTTGGCCAGGAGACGTCATAGACGCCTGGCCCCCCGGGGCCTCCGGCACAAGCTTATTAGTTACATATTTCAGTTTAATTCGTGGTTTCGTGGTAATTAATTGAAGGTGGAGGGGTTACCTCGCACCCGTCCAGACACATGCACATACACATGCACACACACACACGTACATACACACACGTACACACACACACGTACACGCACGCACACACACACACGTACGCACACACGTACACACACGTACACACGCACACACACACACACGTACACACGCACGCACACACACACACGTACATACACACACGTACACACACACGTACATGCATGCACACACACACACGTACACACACACACACACGTACATACACACACACACGTACACACACACACGTACACACACACACACAAGTACACACACACACACACACGTACACACACACACACGTACTCACGTACACACACACACGTACACACACACACACACACGTACACACACACACGTACACACACGTACACACACACACACACGTACACACACACACACGTACACACGTACACACACACACACACATGTACACTCACACGTACACACACACACGTACACACACACACACACGTACACACACACACACGTACTCACGTACACGTACACACACACACG